TGTGTTTTTCCTTGCATTAAGGAGTTTTCTAGCATTTATTTTGCAAGCTTGTATGAAGGTGAGCAGGTATGCTCTGTACCTACTAGGAATTGGAGTATATTCAAGACAGATATTAAAAGCTTTCTCGAGAGGAGTTAGAACTCGATAAAACAGTCAGAAACCTTGCAGTGTCTTGGCATAAGAAGTGACTTACAGCTCCGTCTAGGGGTGATGAAGCATCAGGACAACGAAGAGTATAATGCTGTGCTGTACCAGTGCACTGCAAATTAAGGTCTGTTTTTGACACAGGCGATAGTTAGGAGAGGGAAAACTTGGGTTACAGGAATACAGGTCACAAATGAAATATCCTACTTACCAGGCAGGCTGCTGGGGCTCCAGGTACAGTCAGTCTTTCCTGCGTGGAGATTCTTGAAGCCTTATGGAGTGGCATGATCCCTGGGAGTACTGTGGACTAAAAACACACTAACGACTCAAAAGGAAAATGTATTTTAGTTAAACATAGCAGAGGCTCAGTGATCTGGATTTGGTTGCTGGTGGATTGAGGAATGTTGGTGGAAACAGGGCGCTTTCACCAAAAAAGCAGATCGAAACTGCAGAACATAAGCTGTTAATATTTTTAAGAGGAGGTCCAGCCTGTTGCTGTGGGTATAACAGTCAAACCTGAAGATTCAGAAAGTTTTGAAAGACTGTATGCTCACTCTGGAAATGTTCTCCTTTTGTTCCTATATTTGTGACCGTACTTGAAGATAGAAGTGGCTGATGTTTCTGACTCCCCCTCCTTCTATTCCTTCTCTTCCTCCCTGCCCACGTGCATGAGTTGAACGAGCCAATGTGTTGTCCATTGCAGTTTAGCCAGGTTAATGCCACATGTGCATTCAGCTACCATGCCTCATATTGCAAGTGGTGGTGAGGGGCCTGTGACTGGTATTGCTCTGAGCTCAGCGAGCTGCCACTTCAGCCTCAGTAACAGCTTGGGCACTTTCTTTCTGCTAGTCTGCCCCAGCTGGTTCAAGCACCCTTTATGGGTATGAGAAACAAAATTACATTATGTGAAAATGGTTAGAGATTTCATATTAAAGGTGAAGGGACTAGATACGAAGTCTTGGTTGCTGAGTAATCATTCTGCTAGTAGCGTGTACAAAATCAGCCTGGAAACAGTTTATTCCTCCTGTTATTTTACAGTTTGAGCCTCAAAATGATCGGCAGTTATGCTATTCCAGGAAAGGAAAGGAAAAGTCTCCCTGAAGTGACTAATCCATCAAGCCACCTTCCTGCAAAGCAGTGCCTCCCGCAGGAGCTGTCTCTGGGCCTGTAGCCCTGTGACCACCTAAGCTTTCTTTTGGGGGCCTTTGAGCACTTTGTCACAGTAGAGACCTGTATCTTTTTGTAGTGCGCTTTGGTTGAATATGGGAGATGACCTCCTCATTTTGGGAATTACTTAATTCATTTTCAGGATTATCTTGCCCCATGCATTCACTTTTCCACAAATGGCAAAGCTCCAGCTGGGGGAGGAATGAAATCTTCTTGAGAAGCTGAAGCTTCTGATTTGAAATCTTCTAGTGCTCATTGGGAACAGTGGGTGGCCTTTTCTTTGGACCCTCCCCATTTTCAATACTGTTGACTTGACTCTCATCTTCATTCATCCTGACTTCTGTAAACGAAAATCTCTGGGGGAAGTTGTTGGGATTTGGAAACTGTGGCAACAGAGTCTGTGTCTGACGTGCTGGTGGAGCTGCTGACAGGGGAGTTTATTCATTAGAGAACAAAGGGAATTGTTCCCATGTGCTGTAATATCTCACAAAGATGTATCTTCTTGACATATGTGTATTAGGTTGCCTCCCAGGTGGTATGAAAATATTTGTCCAAGATGTATTCAGTAGTTCCTGAGGTTAACCTTCTAAGAACCAGGTAATTACTGGAAAGTGTTGTCTTGTGTACCTTATCAAGAGGTAATACAATGAAGTAAAACTTATCTATGGTGGAACTATATTTAATGATTGTTTGTACTCACTAGGTAAAACTTTTCAATTACTTGTTCATTGTCATTCGATCTATTTCCCTGTAAATATCTATAGGAGCAGAGGAATGAATTTTCAAACTATTCCTCTGGGGGAATGAATTATCAAACTATTCCTCTGAGATTTTTTATTTCCTCAGCACTTTCTAAGTGTGTGCTGGTGCCCCAGCAGTTTCAAAATCTCAAACTGAATAGTCAACTATTTGAATCTGTCTTAAAATTTATTAGTGTTGGTACCTACTATCAACAAAAGTTAGCTGTTGGCAGACTGCTATGATCCTTATACAGATCTTTCTCATTTACAACTACATGTGAGAGGAATCCATGGGTAGTTTTCCATATCACCTGTTGTAGGTTATTTTGATAGCTGAGAAGTCAATATTCTCAAGCATGTGAGCTGTTGTACAGTATAGGACACAAAATTATTCTAGCAAGATAAAGAATACATTACAAATCCCTTTCCACAAATAAATTCATTTGTGCTGATTACTTCTTTGTGCTTTCATGGCAAAAGTTGATCCCGTTCTGTCTTCTTTTCATTAGAGGCACCAGATTGCCTGTAACCATTTTTGTAGTATTTGCATTAATTCTGCAACTCTGTAACAGGAGTAGAGCAGCTGTAATGCTCGTACTTGTAGAAGCTTGAAATCACTGAAAATCAGTTGTGTTAAGATATGTACTTGAGAAGACATGTCCTTCAAGCGTTAACAAAGTCCTGACAACAGAAGTTTACACTTAATAGATAACATCTAACTTTGGCGTGCACTCATGATAAATAAGACTGCAAGTCCTGCAGACATCCTGCAGCACCCATGTTTTTGTGGGGGCACACATACATATCACAATCATGTAGTTAGACCAACACGCATAGCGAACAGTGAGTTTCACTGTGTTATTTACATGTAACTTAGGCATGTGGTTTTTGTCACTTTGTATTTCCATTAGAAGGAAATGGTTTAGAAGTATACTGTGGTAAAAGGCAGGACGGCTGTGGTCTAACTGTCCTCAGCTTATCACCCATTCTCATCGCAGCCCACCTCCTCTGAACCAGTTGTGACTGGTTTAGTTTACAGGGTTTTTCCACTAAATAACCAAACCTTCCTGCAAACAAACGCCCCAGCACCCAGAAGCCTTAAAAATCCACTTGTCCTCTTATTCGGGCTAAATAAATAAAAATTAAAAACTTAGTATGAACAGTATATGTCTGTATAAAGAAACTTCAGGTACATGTGAGCTGTTGCAGATGTAAAACCTGCAACCATGTACATGAGAAACCCCAGAAACTGTGAGGTGATAGCTATGCTCTGGTGCATGGTGATAGCATGGTTTAGAGTTGCATGTAGGCAGAGTTTTTTGTGCAAAAAGCTTAAAAAGCTGTGTTTTCTCTCTGTTTTCCTGCGCTGCATGGACAGCATCTTTCTGTTTCACGTACGAGACACAACAAGTGAATTTGGGGATCATTTTAGTGAAAGAGATCTTGGTTCATTAATGCAATCAAGTGTTTCTCTAGCGGAGATAAAGGTAGGGGAGACTGGGACAGTAATATCAATGATGCTACTGAAATCTACAGTAACTGCATTCCAGAAATACCTTTGTAGCTATTTTATTTCACTTTGATTGGAACCGAGCCTTAACAAATAATAGCATAGGATATCAGCTGTTTCTCAAAGAGAGTTTGACTAAAGACTAGACATCACATCTTTCTTCACATTGAAGAGTGACGTGACATTGAAGGCAGTAATTAGTTGCACTGGCTTCAATATGCAGATTGTAAAATAGCTTGTGAGATATGCTGTTAGTAAAACAGCTGTGGTTGTTAGAACCGAGCCTGACTTATGTTCTCCTTCCCTTGCGATGGCGCGAGCCCTAGAAGGCAGTCCTGTTGTAACAGCACTGCATTTCCCCCTGGCTTGGCTTAGCTCTTCAACAGAAAAGACGTAATGAGCTAGCTTTTATTGCTCTGTATAAATGTTCCTGTTTAATACATTGAAAAGCAGAAAACTGATGGGTTTAAGGATCTTTGATTTCCTGAGGAATTTATACAAACAGAGAAATGAATCGGGTTTTCTAGCCATCTTGGTACATGCTGTGGAAATGCTGGAGAACAAACACAGGCCTCACAAATGCACCTGGAGGAAAGCTTTTATTGCCCTCTACATCATTACAGATACAGTGAGTGTAAATGCTGCAGGCAATGAGCTCCAAACTTATGGCAGTGTTTTGCCCCAAACTGAGCAAATGCTTTACCCCAGTATGTCTACTTCCGATTTTTCCACAGAAATCTGAAAGGAACTGATTTGTGGAACTTGGAGATGAAGAGTTCAAAGCCCAACATCTGAGAATTTTTCCTCTATTGTGAAAACACTTTCTCTATCAAAGCTTCAGATTTAAGGTTTTGCTCAACTTAAAAAGGTATCTCTAAACAAGATGATGTTTGTAATCATTACAATTGTTTTCTTTCTTTAAAAATACAATGTGCAGGTTTTCAAGTCTGTGTCACAGTGCTGGTGTGGGGGCCGATGGATTTCTTCCATTTCTGTACATGTGCACCTTAGAATTGCTTTTATGCTCGTCTAACTTCATTCAAAAATATTATGTTCACTTTTTAAAATTGTGTTTAGTTGACTCTTAAAGCACACATCACTTAAGAATATTTGAGTCCCAATTTGGTAGATATGTGAGAGTTGCAATAAGTCATTGAAAGTAAAAATGAACAACAACCTGTGAATTTACGGCATAGCAATGCTCCTAATTAAGCTTTAAGCACAATGACAAAATGCATCTGTGCTTTATATGTCAAAAGCCCCATTACACCTCTAAAATTCTGCATGCATAACTACTTTTAACATAAGTACCTTCCTCATTTTGCAATATGGACTTTGGATTAAAATCCAAGGTATGTAACCTTACTCCTATTGTCCACCGCAGTTCAATACTCAGAAAAATGAGGAAAATCAGACTGAAATAAAAACACTAGCAGTAAAGCAAAACAAGCCCTATGCACTAATGCTAGAAAATTATTTTTGGATTTTTTTTTTGTTGTTACATCTAACACTGAGAGCAGGGGAGTCTATATGGGTAAATATATAGCAAAGCAAATTGAAGACAATTTTGTAAGCCTTTCCTAAACCGGCATTTATGCTTTCTTTCCTTGGTGCTTGGTTGGAGCCCACATTCTGTAGATGAAGAAGAGTACGATGAGATAGTACATGAAGCTCTTCAGAAGAAGGACGAGGTACACTAAATGTGCTGCCCTGTGCATTAAGTGATCTGTAACAAACATACGACAGGAAAGTCTTGTTTAATGTCAATATTGTACAACCTCCTAAAAGACGGGTAGAACTGGGACTGTGTAGTCTGTTTACTGCTGCAATTACATTGATTCCAGTGGACAGTGTATAAACACATACAATGTCTGACTGTCCTTTGAGTGGGTTTGCACTGCTAATAAGTTCTAGACCAAGCAGGTTTCTTAGCACTAGATTGCCTCTCAATTATTATTCCCTGCAAAGGCAAGAACATCATTCTAGTGCTTCCAGCACTGATTACCAGTAGCACCGTGTTTGCTTGAATCCTTTTGTGTTGGATTTTTTGAACATAAGTGCTCACGATTCTTCCTAAATCCCCATTCAAGCTAAAAGAAAATTTCTTTGTCCAAAGTGCTGGGAAATTGCTTGGCTGATAGAGCATCAGCTGAAGCGTTGAACATTTAACTGCTTCAGGTATTTAAAAAAGTGGCACTTAATGCAGGCTAAAAATTTAGTAGCCCGAACAGCATCTGTAGGGTTCTAATAAAGCTACCTAATAAAGGTAGGAGAGCCCCTTCTTATAATCCACAACAGAAGTTAATTCAGAGTACCACTGAAGCGTTTTTAAGTTACAGACCCCAGACTTAAAAGATTTCTTGTACGCTATTTAGAAAGATCATTTTCATGATGTTCTGAACATATGTAGCAATATCTAACTCTTGCCTGACATGCATCGCTTTCCCACATTTTAATACATTTTAATTACCTCTATTAAAAACTGTGCTGTTTCCAGGATATGTGCTGCAGACCTCTTCCTGAGGAACAGTCTTTGTAGAATCTAATGGAAAGAGAGTTTAAATGCCCCAATTAGGCTTTTCTTTAATTTTAGCAAACATGAATTGAGAAATAGGGGGAAAAAGAGGCAGTACAGCAACAGCGAAATGAGAAGTTAGTGTTAAACAACAAAAGAAGGATGTTTAAGATCTGTCTGCAGAGCAGATGTTCACAAGTAGGATTCATTTGCAGAGAGAATTTGAAGGGGGGAAATGCTCGTAGAGAAGTGACTGGGTATTTGTTGCCGTAAGTGGGAGGTTTGCCTTTGCCCTTTTAGGAATGTGTCCATTAGGCTGTTCTTTGCAGAGTCTCTTTTATTTGGAACTGCAGTCAGCTTGACCACCTGATCTTGTCACTGAAGTAGCTGGGGTCTGCCTTCACGACATACTGTTATTAGAAATGCAGAATAATTTACATCGGAAAGCACCTCAATTAGTCTGTTACTTAATGGTTGCTCAACACTAACGAATAATCTTGAGGAGTGTATGACCTAAGGTTCCCTTATTGGGAATTTGCTATTTTGGTGGTGGTTGTTCTCTAAAATAAACCCTTTTTGTGCTTGAAGCAGCAACTTTGTGTTTGTTCCTGGTTATGGTGTTTGTATGCATTGATACATGAGCTTAAAGACATCCGTATTACATCCCTAAATACATCCTTCATCTAACTAAACTTAAAGCATATTTTTGTCAGAATACATTTTGAAGGTTAAAATGTAATGGTTATTTATGGCCATGCTCTCACTCATTGGAGTTACGTTAATTTATAGTAAATTGAACAGAGGTAGGTACTGAGAAAAAATCAGTCTAAATAGGCAGCTTTTCTTAAAGATGTTACCATGATTGAAACAATTTGCATTGATTATAGGTTACTTTTTTCTTTAAAATTGCATTGTCTTTCAGATTTTGCTTTGCATAATCAATCTTTCCACAATTAAATGAGATATCTTTTTTTCATACATGGTTATTATCTCACTATTGCTGGACTATGGGTAAGTAATATATTTAAACTTGCTCTACATCCCCAGCAACCTCATTTTTAACTCCTTAGTTTTTTATACCTGTGACTAATGTCAGGAGGTGTCAGAGGGACTTATACCGGTAAGCCATGGGTAACAGAGCTAATAGTCTTTTCAGAAACTTCTGTAGACCGGAAAGTAACTGACACGGCTCAGTGCAGACCTTTTGGGGCTATGCTAGTTTACACCTGATGAGGTTCAAGAACTGCTGTTTTCCTATTGCAAAGGGCCGTTCACATGGGGAGCATAGCGCAGGCTGGGTTGCTTTTTCTGGGAAAACTTTGGTAGTTTCTCCGGATGTGTATTTTAGCTATTGTTGTGCCAAGGAGCACAGATGCTTTCAGGAACAGTAATAGAAAGCATTATTTCTATAATATTATTGCAAAGAAAAAGTGATGTCTATAGTAATACATAGAATGAATTTTTTAACATGTAGTATATACCTTCTGTCGACAGTAATGGCTGTCCGCTTTCATGCTCATATTTGCAGTGATAGATCTTGTCTTTGTTCTCCAGTGGTACAGTTAACCAGCTGCCGATTGAGTATTTATCCTCTTCTGTGGGTTTCCAAATGTCTCCTTTTACTACGTTGTCTGTTACCTCATTTTTTCCATCGGTCCATGTCACCCGAATAACTTCTGGGTAGAATTTCTCAATAAGGCAAACATACGTTATCTGATTTTCATGTTTCTTCTGTAGGATTTCAAAATTTGCCGGTGGAGATATTCCTTTGTCTGGATTGGTTATTGGAGGAAAAAAATTAACACAATAGAGAGTTGGAAGATCAATAGTGTACAGCAAATAAATACGCAGCCACAAAATACAAATTCTGAAGAGCAACAAGCTAAATGTCTGACTAACAAATGTTTTAGCTTTCTAATTTGTTATGAAATACTTAGGATGGGAATAGAAATGTCTCATGTATGAAAGGAATTTTAGGTAATAGGATGGATGAATTACAGCTGTTTCCATCCTGGAAGTAAAAATAAGTTTCTGGCCAGCTGGACGAACCTGGCATTCAAACACACTTTATATTAAATATTATTTCAATAGACCCAAATGGCAAGTTTTAATTTTCAGTCAAAAACAGTTACAATACTCTTTAGAATAATTGGGAATAGAAAATATGACTTTTAACCTTATTTTTAAATGTGTTATTTTATAGAGAACTAAAATGAATAGAGGTTTTTATGAGCATGGTACAGAAAATCAAGCTCAAAATCAGAAGACAAGACTCAATTCAAATATTCTCAAGTCATTTTTGCTTAGACAATATAGAGTCTTCCAGAGTCTGGAGAATGTTTGATATAAGCTTTGATACTGTGCCATGTGCATGGAGAAACATTATTTAAGTCCTAAATTGTTTAGTAAACACTAACATCTAGACTGCTTCATTCATGCTTCTTGTCAAGCAGCACATCTGATAGAGGGAGACCAGAGTAGACTAGGTCTACTCTTTAATACTCTAATACTAGAGTAGATTAAACAGTATCTCACAAAAGATTTCTTGAGTATTTTATTAGAAAAATAAATTTAAGTCTGGTTATTTAAAACCTTAGAAACCTACTCAATGTTTGAAAAATTATTTTTGAGAAACGTTAAGAAACTGAAGTATTGTTGAAGACATTAATAATCTCCCTTGAAACTGAGTTAGAAAACTTCAGGCGACTACGTGAGAGCCTAAATCCCACAGCCTTCCAAGCAGTACTGCTGTCAGAATGCGTATTTGTCTGCACAAGTCTTTGACAATTATTAAATAATAGTAATAGTTCCTGAAAGAGCTTTGTTAATTTATTTGATAAGAGGAATTTCATATTGCTTTATAATGTTTATGCAAAAACAACTACATGAAAATTTTGTTTACAGAATGTTAAAGGTAGACCACCTGCCTTTCAAATCTTTGCAGTTTTATGTCCCCAGTATAAGTCCCCACTGCTAATTAATGAACATCTGCTATATCTAATTAATCTTTTAAAAGTTGATATTAATTTTGTGTGGGTTTTTGGGGAAAAAAAGGCAACAAAAATTTATTGTTGCCATTTTTTGAAGACATTCTATGTGTTTGCCAGGTGAAGATCTTGATAAAGACAGGAAAATGGAATCACAAAATGCTCTGGACCCCAAAGGTTGGCAATGCTGTTCCTTTAATACTAGATTTGTTTAAATGTTTGAACTAACACATCTGAAAAGGAAAAACCAAAACTAAACTAAAACAGAAGAACATGGTATATCTAGAGAACATTTCTATATACAAATAGCGTATCTATCCATACCAGGGTTGTTGTAGGTGATGTGCTTTGTGAAACATGCTCAGTATGAACATACGTGAATATATTTTAAATGAAATGTGAGCCATTTCCACAAGATAACTGTAGGTAATCTCCATTTCATTTGCCTCTCTGGATTAAACCTTATGTTATTAGGAGGAGTCCAAATCACCCAGATTTTGCCCAGACAGAGAAGACCTTTTGATATTATAAAAATGGATAGTAAATTTAAGAGTCTGTTATAGGAATCGTGAACTTCTGCAGTGCGTGCATAGGCAGTGCTCATGGGCAATCATTTTTGTCTATGCCTAACTGCAAGTGAAGACAAGATACAGTTTTCAAAATCGACTTTTGTTATAGTCAGAAGGTACTGACTATTTTTTTTAAGGCAGCAGAGAGATTTTAGGTCTTCATCTCCTTACACCACTCTTCCTCTTTAGATTCCTCTGCCACTGAATTTGAGCAGCTAGATGCATGGTGTTTAAAGTGTGGTCTGGCTGAGTGGTGCAGTTTTCATGCATTGTGAGAAAACACATTAATATAAACATGTATTTTTGTCAAAAAGCTTCCACCTTTCTTTAAATGATCTGGCTATTCTAGAGCAATCTTCTACATTGCATCCCGCCTAAAACAACTTAGTGATTCTTTGAAGTATTTCATACCGGGTGTTTAAAAACAAAGAGGACCAAAGCATAAGGCTGTCTACCTTCAAAAAGATAACCCTTAAACTATGAATTTCCTTCATTTTGGAGATTTGTCATTGAAATGAAGATGTGGACTGAGTTCTGTTGTACCAGAAATAAAATTGCTAACAATTTTATGGTTCTCTAACATTAACTTAGGGGTTAATTTTATCTTCTTTATGCATCAGTCCTCCCAAGGATGCAAGATTAAACTAATTTCTAGAATGATTTATTTGTTCCAGAGTTGTATATGTTCAGAAGACCATGATGTAGCTCCTGTCCCAGTGACATTGCACTCTGCAAAGCCTCATGACTATTTTAGATGTTTCTTTTAGATTTTCAAGGCTTAGTAAGTTACCCTGACAGTAGGCTAAAATTTAATTGTCTAGTTTGATGTTGTTCTTTTGGATTATCAAATCTAAATAGAGAAGCAGAGAGAGATGCTTCCAGCTGCTAGTTCATCCTGCCCATTTTAGAGACTTCTATTAAGATGGAATAATTTCCATCTCTGGAATTGCCAATGTCTTTCCATTTACCATAAAAAGACCCCAGGTGCTTAGCTTAAATGAAACACCTAAATCATATCACAATACTGAGGAAACATTGCTTGAATAAGCACAACTGTGTGCGTGCGTGGGACAGTCGCATGTACGCACATAGGTAAATGAGTGACAGTGGAGAACTGAACAAATTAAGGTTTGCATATATACATGTATATATATGTTTGTGCGGAGGGAAAAAAAAATATATCTCCATAAACTGTAGGTACGTTTATGGAAAAAGGATGAAAACTTGTAGAATTGGCTGAAGATTTTGCTGTATTTTCAGACTGATCTGTAAAGTCGTTGAAGTCAACAAGACAGTTTACACTGTCTTTTCTGGGCAAATGATCTGATCCTTTCTGAAGAATTTTAAAGTATGAGCTTCCACTCCACTGTCTTTTTTGTTTTAGTTAAACTTACAAAAATTTTGCTGTTTACTTTGTTAAACAGTTTTCAAAGGCAGGTTTTAAGAGGTACACATGTTAACATATAAGCATGTGCAGATATTTCTGAAGCTAAAATCTGTCTTTTCTCTCTTGTAATAATGCAGTAAGCCTGCGAAACATTGTGCAAATAAAATTCTGGAGTGAGGCTCGTAATCAATGAGCTATAACGAATTTGGGTTTAAAATATACGTTTTTATAGATTAACTGTCAAAAGTTTTCTTAATTAAACTCCTGTACAGTGTCTTTATAAGCGTCTATAAATAAGATCTATAAATAAGGTCAATGTGTTCTTAAGCTGAAATTTTAATTCTCATTACTTGGATGATCCCACAAAATGGAGTAATTTTGTCTGATACTCAAAGCTCCTCAGTTCCCCTTCAAGCCAGTGGGAGCTGAGAGCACTCAGCACACTCAGCTCATAAACAGTGTTCTTGTCCTGCTTGCCAGCGACTTCAGGTATTATCACTGATAATAACACAGTATAGTCCTGACCTACTGTGAGCCTCCCCAGATACCATAAAGAGCTGTCAACCTTCACTCCAAAGCTTTCCCGTTACAAAACTTAAAAAAATGAGTCTTTGAAAACACTTACTGGAGATGATGAGTTTTGTGCCAGAGCCAAATACCTTGTCGAACGCCCACTGGTACATTCCCTTACAGAAACTGCTTGGGACGTTTTGGCCGGACAAGAACCAGATTTAACAACCATCATATGAACAATAAGAGTCTATTCACTTTGCTACATGAATGTAGAAAATCTGAATTCAATCTCAGCTAATGCTGCTATTCCCAAAGAGCCTTTAGTGATATGTACTTTAAATTCAGTTTCGAGCTAATCTTTGCCATCACTTGTTTAAAAAAATATCAAAACAAACCAAAACTGTTGTTGTCCAGGGCATTGATAGAGCTACCATATTTCCTCTAGATTTTTTTTCTAGAAAAATTAATTTTTTTCTGGGATGGTGAGTGTTTTTGACCACACAATTTAAAAATACACACATGCTAGACCACTGTTTAACTGAATTAATGAAAGGCAGTCCTGAACAGCCACGACTGCTCTCAAGCCTAGTGGAGGGGCATTAACTCATTTTGGGCCTAATCCTCTGCATGTTGAGGTTACTGTAATCTGCTTAACTGGATGCGGGATCGGGACTGTTCACCCTCAAATCCCGCCGTACTTGCCTACGCAGTACTATAGCAGGTAGTCAGTACCAAAAGGAAACATCACACGTGCATCTAAGTGTGCTGTAGAGAAGCATCAACTTCCATCATTCCCATGCACGTCCTTCCCCAGGGCCTTCTGGCTTCTCCCCAGGGAAAACCATGTGCACCTCACATGAAATCCTGCCGACAATGGCAACATTTCCAAAGGTCCAGGATTTCCCCCCACATTTTAATCTTCTGATTATTTATTGTCTGCCTGCAGCTAAACTGTGCTGCAGTGCATTCAAGAAAGCTCAGTTCCTCTTGGATGGAATAAATCAGCTTTGTTTGGACAAATCCATGGGGAAAGACCTTCCCCTTGACCAAACAGACATGCAGAGCTTCAGCCATGCTTTAGGCGATCTGTTGGCACTCACAATGTTTTCCTGTATAGCACCTCTATTCCCCCTGCTCTGAGGCCAAGGGGCGATCTACAGCCGTGTTTCTGAGTTACCTTGACCCTGCTGCTCTGGGCAGTAAGCTTTGCACAAGGGAATGACCTGATGTAGCCCTAAGTATCCAAAAGAGGTTATATTTCAGCAATTTCTGGTTTATGTGAAGTCCTACAGTTTACCCTGACCTCTCTTATACAAGCATTTTGGGTGCCAAAGAAATGAATTCTGCTACTGCAAAGAATCCACATCACTTTTCTGCATACTTTTAAATCTGTATTTTAATCGTATTATAATTTTAAAATAGCATATCACATTCCCTCTCCTCTAGATTTTGGATTATCAGAATAAGGCATATTTTCTTAGATATTAAAAAACTTACCAGAAACAATAAGCTTTGTGCCAGTTCCGAAGACTTTGTGATAGTCACTGTATACAAATGCTTTACAAAAACCCACCTAATCTCAATGTTTTTAAAAACCTCATTTTGTGTCCCAGCCTAGCCTCATTTCCTTATTAGAAATACACCCGTTTCTTTTGACACTGACTTCTAGAATTAAAACTTTCCTTACAAAATGGTGTATGGATGAACCTGTGTTTGCTCATACAACAGATTTCACTTATGTTAGTCTTTCAGGTTTAAATAAATAAGCTTGCATGTACACAAAAACTAAGGGTTTGGAATACTGACAAAGTGGAGGATGGAGCCCTAATTTAACAGTGGGCATTCAAAATCACGGAAATATTTAAGCAGATCCTGCACACCTGAGATTTGTAATTTTCTAGACTGAGACTCCTCCAATATCCCCTGATGTTTCTATGGAAAACGTGAGGAACAGTAAAGGTTATCACCTTGGCAACATGGGAAATAATGCATTTATATATATGTGCATGTACACCTGTGTATGAATATATATCCTACAATGAGAACCTAGCGCTGCATGCTATCACCAATTCAAGCTGATCTTTTTGGGCCATGGTTTTAGGATAACAGAGACCATTATGAACAGGGAAATGTTCACACTGAACATTGACTTAAAAGAATCGGGTACTGAATTCATCTTCATGCCCATGAAATTCTTGCTATTTTAAAGCTGCTAGCAAATGTTCCTATTAATATTAATCATGGTAAGAGGCTTTCACTCCACAGATTTCTTTTGAATGGCCACATCTTCCCTTATTTATATCTTACAGCTCCACCCTTCTGCACTAACACTCATTTGGACTTTCAAGTCTACTGGGTTTTGATTCAGGGCTTCATGTTTTAACCTGTTAAAAAAAAATACTAATGCAAACTAATGCATACATTAATCTTCACTATTTTGATTTAAAAGGGCAGAAAGTCAGTTTAATCCAACTTCAGGTAATGTATAAATAAATTTAAGTATAATCCATTTTTAGGCAACATATATTTTATAATATATAATTACAAAAAATAATTGTAGCTTTTTGAACTCTGAACTTCAATGCATTTGATGAAAACAAGGTAGATACTTCAGTAATATTTAGGAGATAGCGTTTAAAGACATCAAATATTGCTGCCATAATTTCTGCTATGAAATTATTTCCTAGAAATGTTAGTCGATTGTTCTTTTTATCACTTCAAAATAAGTTAGCAATATGCTTGTGAGTTGCCAGGGAGACCCAGCTGGAGCTGTAGCAGAAGAGATGGCAAAGGGAAACCAGCCCCACGCTGGCTGAGCAAGCTACTCCGCTTCTGTGCTGAAGGAAAAAACCTGGATTTCGAGAGGCTGGTTCAGTCTTGGCTTCCCTGTTGTGACCTGCCTAAATTCCATAGAAAGAGGAAAGATACTCACAGAAGAATCCTGTATTGCCAGTTTATGTTGGATTAATATTCCTGTTCTGCTGTAAGCTTCTAGAAACTCATCTGTTCCACCAAATGCAAATGCCAAACCAGTGTCTCAAATCCCAGCCCTTCTGCTACCTGCATTATTGTAAGTCTCGAGCAACTTTCTTTTGGTCAGAACTAATTAAAAGAGACCAACAAGAAAAAAATCAAGTTCATTACAAGTTGATGGGAGTTTGGCTCTTTATATATTTGACTCTTTCAGTATAGATCTGGGAAAAGATTCTGCTCAAGCTCAAACCCTGATGATTCAATTGAATTAAGGTCACTTAGAATAAGTCCTGGTTTTCTCCATTTCTTTCCGTTACGAGTAACTTACTGAGGTACTGTTGGATAGTCACCTCTGAAAAGACAAGCTGTGATGAAATGCCTGATCTTAAGCATGAGGTAACTACAGCCTTTTTACTCTATTAATCGGTTAGAAGCCTTGGCCACATAAAGACAAAATCCTACAGAATTAGAGTGATGCTTGAAAAGAATTTATTTTAAACTGTAGATACTAAAAACATGGCAACTACCTGATTAACAAGGTAAGGATTTTCACTAAAAACAACACGCTTATGTGTGCCACAAACTGGCATGGATATTTCTGTTGAATTATAGTTATGATTTACTTAGTCTTTCTGACATAAATCATTAAAAACAATCTTTGCTTGATATGCTAATATAAGTTTATGTATTTAACCAGGCTTAAATCATTTGGTAGCAATAGTTCCTCTGCCTTGTGTTTGTCTAGTTGTTGACTCCAGGATTATGGTGTTTAAAGCACATTTAATGGGAAAAAAGAAGATTTTTGTCCTCCACTTTCCATTAAATAAATGTCTCTGCAGGAAAGGCAAAAAAATGGATCACTTCTTCATATGCGTGTTACTAAGCAATAAGAAGAGCATTTGGAGGTACTAATTCATTTCTACTGCCAAAGTGCTGTGTACATGAGAAAAATAATTATGGACAAGTTATTTCACTTTTACTAGCCTGATTAAAAAAGGATTTTGGCAATGGCCATTGCGTATGGCTCTTTGTATCTGTGTTGGGAAGAGGTTTTCTTTTTTATGCTTAATTCACAGCTGCTTGATTCCCTGCTTATTCCTTCAGTACAGCTGGAAGAAAGAATGAGGGCTCTGGAAACTACTACAGGCCATTTTCCACCACATTTCCAAGGAGGAGTATGATCAAAAGTGGCTCAAAATAGCTCCTTTTCAGAAATGTTTGTGATCCTAAACCACTGCATTACAAATACAACAAGGCTCACTGTAGGAATGACAGGCCAGGGAGGGCAATCCTGCGCAAGCATGATGCCAACTGAGGCTCTAAGTGAGCTGAGTGCCCTCTGGGACACTGTTAACACTCATCTACATGACCACCCCAAGCTCCTATAGCTTATTGTATGGAAAATAGCATGTAATTTACCTGACACAATGACTTTTGTACCGGAGCCAAACACTTCGTTGTAATAACTGATCACAGTGAATAAAGTCTTTGCAATAAAAATGCAGCTCTGTTATTTTTATATGGATAAATAGTATTCTTTAAAGAAAATAAGATTTGCTATATAATAAATTTTGAGACCCTAGAAAAGTAAAAAAGGAGCAGTCGCCTAAACTAAACTTTAAAAAAAAAAAAAGTGTGGAGGTTTTTGAGGGCATGTATGTTGTTAAATGGACAGGATTCATCTCAGCTAATTTTAGTCTTCTGAAAGTTTAGACGGACGGTGCAGATTGAGCACCTTGGCTCAGTCTGTGCTTTCTGGATAGAGGCAGCACCAGCAGAAGATCTATTTGATCAGATATTGGCCAAGTAATTTGCTCCTTATACACCCTCATAAAATCAAACCTAGAATTGGCGAACATTATGCTGAGATCTGAGCAGCACAAGACCCCTGACCAATATTTTTGTTGTCAGTAACATGAAGCAAAACCCTGCATGGACTGGAATCGAGCCTCCCACTAACCAGATACGCCATTTTCAGACAGTCAAGATTAGGCAAACTGTTTTCATCTCAGGTGCTTAGCTGAGCTGAATCACAGGCAAGTATCAAAGCACCTGAAGTTTACTTGAAGCAAAGTAATTTTGATGAGTATGTCAAAACATTTTGAGTTTGGCATTCTTCCTTAATAACAGTAATAACTGATAATAAGCGGTTTCTGCAAAAGCTAGGAAGAGAGAGCAGCCTTTCAACTATGCGTATCTTCAGACAGTTCTGGGCATATCTCAGATAACTCCTTTCATTTGGTATAGTCAGACGTAGCCCTAAAGGAAAACGTTTTGCTTTTCAAAGAATTTGAGTAACCCAAGGTTTGACACTTTTCTTTCAGAATGAATTAGAAATATCACAAAGGTTGAATATGCATATTTAAAGACAAAAACATCTTTCTGTTCTCCGAACGCTATCTTTGCCATCTTTAAATTCATCTTTAAAAAGAAAATAATAATGGGGTTAGTTATACATCTGTGCTGCGATAGCTGTTTTCTTTCCCCCGTTTCATACATAAATACAAAACAATTGTTTTGTTCTGCATATGGAAATGCTGTTTAAGAGGAAAATCCTGCAAAGCATTCAGTAGGGTTAAAACTAGCGGGAGCTAAAATAGCAGAGCACTTCATGCAGCCAGCATCTAACAGTATGAAAAGCATTTCAGAAGTAGTTAAGTTTTACATTTTGTACTTACTTGAAACAATAAGCTTAGTTCCACTTCCAAATATTTTGACATCAGCATCCCACAGTCCGATAATGCTTAGCAATATCACCTCCACTGCACTTTTCTTGCATAGACTACAGAAAAAGTCTCTCTGATTTAGAGGTTGGTGATAAATCTGGCCCAGTGCAATAGCTGAATTTTCAACACTGACTAGAGTGCCATTTTTAGAAATACTTCGATTTTTGTAGTGAGTAAAAAGTTCAGGTTTTTAAACCCAGCATTTTCTGAGAAGAAAGCAGTGCCGTGCTTATTTTATAACTATGTTCTAATCCTTCTAGCTCTGAGATTTCTCTAAGAAAGATCTGTTGCCTCTGATCTGCTAGGTTTTCTCTGAAGTAACCTCTTTTTGCTGTTTTAAGAAGAAATGCAGTTACATTATGATTCCCAAAGGAAATTTAAAAAGTTTACTAGTTATTTGTTGATTTAAATATACAGATAAACAATTTTTTTTCCTAAGTGTACTATCTTGCAAATTACTTATTGTGTGAAAGTACCTTAACTAAAGTTTCATCAAACTCATATTTTGAAGCCCATATTTTAAATGCAAAGTCCATATTCTAAATGAAACTTGCTGACGCCCATAACTAAGTTCATGCCTTTGGTAAGAGGTTACGCTGTCACCTTTTTGGCAAAAGCAGCTGCCTCTACACAGGCACAGTTTAATCGCAAATTGCAGCAGAGAACGTTTTTGGTCAGAGGCATGGATAACATTTTAAATTTCTTTGTAACTCTCCTCTGCTTTTTACGATTTGACTTAATTATAGTCACCTTGATATAGCATGTATTTTCTAAGAAACATACTGTAGGCATTGCTATATGCTTTATACTGAAAACAGCATTCATCCTATTGATTGCATAGCTTCACCACAACTAATAATACAAATGCAAAAGTAAACCAGTTACTTTCAGTAGGGCCAGGAATTAGAAATTTATTGCATTCCAGGCAATTTTTCTTCCCAGTCAACTTAGACTGAACCACCTCTATCAATAAGAGACTTTTTGCCTTTCTCACTTGCTGTTCTGAGAGTAAACTTTCAAGTAGTTCACTTTTCTTTCCCAGAACAGGAATGAATCCATCCCAATATTTAAATTTTTACCTCTCCTCATTTTTCCATTCCCCCGTCCTTAATAAGTATTCAGTAATTGTTCTAGAGGTGATCTCTCTATTCAAGAGGTCGATACATTTATGGCACATCAACCCGCACAACTGGGGCACCACACACAGTTCACAGATAAAACATGATTTATCAGGCAGAAATTCATTTTCCTACAGTCTTTCATTCTTGGGAACGTGAATGACACTGTGAAAATCAGATGAATAATAACAGTACTTACTAGAGACAATTAGCTTGGTTCCCGTGCCAAAGTATTTGATCCAGGTGGTCCACACTACGTTTTGACTTTGCAATAAGCTAACGTGCTCTCTTGCTATGCCATTGTTGAAGAAAATGCCATTTTTTTCCCCAGTCAGCCCCGGCAGACTGAGTGAAGGCCTGGCCCTTGGCTACAGGGAGGATGTCAGGAATTTCAGACTTGCACCTGGTTGTTCAGCTGATACCTAATGCCCTTCGGAGCGAATCTCTTTCCTGAAGGGCTGCAAATTTGTTAGATAACCCCTCCGCTTAACACCTAAGAATTAGGTGAAGGTTTCTCTTCAGTTTTAGACACACAAATAGGTGCACAGGGTTGTGCATGTTAAAAAACACATACCTTCAGGTGACGATCCTGCTCTTTCCCAAAGGGGTACACTCCCCCTCACCTGCAATTAAGTGACATCAAGTACTACTAGCATGAAGTTCATTCTTAGTTGTCTTAATACAATTCAGCAGAGGGAAAGGAGGGAGAGCCAGCACCATAAGCATCGCGAAGGTGTCCGTGTGCTGCAGGTTGCCTTTTCTGCCCCTGGTATGTGGTTATTGTCCGCCCATCTCCTGGAACCAGTCCAGGCTCTGCAATAGCAGCTCACCGGCACTTTTCATATACTAGCTGGTGGGAGAAGGAGGCTTTTCCTTTGTGCACGGGCTTCTTACAAAACAGACCAAGATAACATCAGAGGAGTCACAGCTGCTGTCAATCAAACTAAGCCTCCATGCTTAGTTTGCCATTTAAAAGAAACTGAGTTTGAGTGCTTCTGGGATCTCATGTGCCATACCGACCACAAAACAACGTTAAGAAATTATGATTTGTGGCTAGAGGAGCTAGACTGAGGGTGAAGGTCTTTCAACTGAAGTAGGTGTAACAAAAGCAATTGTGTACTCTGAAGGCTCCTGGGCAGGAACATCGTAATCGCAACCACAAAGCAATGGCAGGAGTGATGTAGACAGAGAATGGTGCCGACCAGTGCTTTTCCTGCTGCATCCTTAGACACACAGCGAAGGAGGCCACTACCATCTCACCTGCAGTTGCTGGGACTGTTTGATTATGGTCACGACAGTGAGTAGCTGGGAGGTCTCATTAGAAGAAACAAAAAGTGAAACACTGCATGTTGCAGGCAGCTTGTCTAACTCCCCTATATGATCTTGGCTTGCAAGTCTGAGGAGGACAAAACTGACCTGTAGCCATTTGGAGACCTAATACATATTTGAAATTGTTGTGTCACTTTTTCATCCCATCAGACTAATATTCTTTAATGAGTTACACTTCAATGAACCAAGTGAGGAGAGTATCAGGGTACCACAACAAAGGAAAATATTAAGAAGAGGCTTGATGGTAGAGAAAAACCTCTGTGGATTAATTTCTCAGGCATGAGGGTCAGCATGCCCAATGAGGCAGTAGCTAGGAAGGATGCATTGCGTATGTGACATAAATATGAAAAGTTGTTCTTAACTATGGAAAGGTCTTTTCTTTGGTACTAGCTTTGGTAACTCTGTCTCCAACTTTTTGGGTGATTCAGATGCATCACTACTATGATGAACACCAGTGAAACACAGACAGTGATAAGCAAGAAGGAGAGGGAAAGGGACTGACACAACTCAAAAAAAAAGAACAAAAATGCCCACTTCTCAGGAGGAATAAATAGAAAATCTTCCTCCTCCGACAGCTGCTAACTTTTAAGTGAAAAGAAGACTCCTTTTCCTTTGCTTAAAATTTTACGACCCTTCAGCCTAAAGCTCTCTATTTCAGTTTTCTTTGCCAGACCAAAGGCTTTGAAGAGCTCCAGTACAATGTGCTGACCTATTTCCAGGAACAACAATATGGAAAAGTACCCCCTTTCCATTAATTAAATCCTTGCAACTAGTTCACTGACATGCTTGAGTGAAAAGGACTCAAAAGTGGAATGGAGAGGATGGGTTAGATATTGGACCTTCACCGTCCCCTTTGCATTTTGCACTTGCTCAGTCGAAATTTCTAGCTTTTGGCAGCTGATGCTTCCAAGAAGTTGGTCAGCACCGAGCATGTCCTGCTTCTCCAGAGCCTGCATGTGAGGCCAGGCAGCTCATCCACACCAGGGGAACTGAGCTGAGATCTTTCAAGCTGTTTGTGGTTGAGACGCTGAGGGAGTATTTGTCAGGTGATCTCTGAGTTTCTACCACGGTGACTATGCCAGTAGGCGCAATAGTAGGTAGCAGTGTCATCTGGAATGACATCGGTTATTCTAAGAATACACAGTTTCTTGCTAGAAACCTTTTCAGTCCTATACCTGTGCGCTTGGAAGCCCTCATCTACTCTTTCTGTCTGTGATAAGTAGAGCATCCTCTTTGGAGCTTTACCCTCCTTCTGTTGATACCAGTGTATGACGGTGTCATCAAAATCTCCAG